CAAGCTTCCCTCAAGCCTCAGGTGATAAAAACTAATTAAAAAAAACATTGCAATAGTTTTAAAGGACATTTTTTATGCTTGGAAGTATGAAAATAACATCAAAATGTCAAACGCAAATATGATTCTCATTTATTTTGGTATAAATTGTGACCTTTTTGTACCATTAAATATGTAGTTTGAATGGATGTTTCTAAATGTTTGCCCTGGTACTCTTAATTAGTATCATTGCACTTATAAAATAATAATAATAATAATAATAATAATAATTTTAATATAATAATAATAATAATAATAATAATAATAATAATAATAATAATAATAATATCTTTATTTAAAGAAGGTTACACAATAAGACACATACAATAGCAATCATATATATCTTATTTCCAATTAGAAAACAACAACAACAAAAACAACAACAGCAGAACATGCATAGTTAGAAAAATGAATGTACAATATTGAGTTTTAGAATAAGCAATTCATATACTTTCAACAGACACTCAACAATTTGTTTGACCTTTAACCTCATGAGCATATTGTGAAATATGGCCGTTTTCATTGAAAAGCCTCCGATTACAATTTCAAACTGCTATGAAACTATGAAAAATGCTTCAATACTGATGTAACTTGGCACAAATGTTGACTGGACCATGGCCTCACAGCATGCTCAATCGTAAATTTTCTGTCACCATGGCAACGGGGGGACGTCTCAAAATTGCGAAAAATCACTATTTTGCATTGTTTTTTTCCCATCAAAACTGATTTCAAAGTGCTGCAAATTCTCAATGAATTGAGATAAATTTCAGCGTCGGTTACTAGTTACCCTTAGATCGACCTGAGGCCATATTAAGCCTGTCACATGTCCAAAATTTTCCTTCTGGCAACACCCTGATGTACCATTTTGATGAGGGAGGGGGAGGGGGTTGCGGCGCGGAAAAAAGTGGTTACTTTTTTAACAACATTTTTCGAATGAAAAACAGTGTTTGGGCCTAAATAGAGCATTTTTCACTGTTTGAGGCCTCAAAAAGGTTAAAGGGGCCTACGTATATTGCATCATTCATTTGTTCATTCGTTCATTCATTTATCCATTCATTCATTTGTTAATTCATTCATTCATTCATTCATTCATTTTTCTTTAAAACATTTAAGGTTAATAACATACGAATATTTAAGGTATATTGTTTCAAATGTTCGTGACATTATAAGAAAATTGTCGTAATATAATTTGTCTTGTCCATAATACAATATCTTTTCGTTACCTAGATCTTTAGTTTTATATTTTGTTGTCGGATAAAGTCATCATTTATTTATTATAAGTAAAGAAATTTAAATTAAAAAAATTCCGACATTGTCGGAAAAAGTCATCATTTATTTATTATTTTAAAAGAAAACAAGCCAAGTAAAAAACCTTATTCCGCGTGTAAACGTTAAATATTAAACAGTATATTTAAGGAAATTGCCAGCCATTTTTAAAACTAAGATGGTTGCCGCATTACATCTATCTATTTTTCCTCATTTATTCTTCTCGTTTACACTTCAGCCGACTGAAATAAGCAAAACTTATTAAATTTCAAAAAGATGTGTTTTATTTTGCCTGTAGGAGAATGAAAGTAAAAATAAAAAAAAAAACAAAAAAAAACAATGGCGATCATTTTGAATTGATTTTTAAAAGATCAAGGACTAAAAATAAAGCCGTGGGAGAGCAAAATATGAATTCAGCGTACTCGAAATAGGTAAGTAAGCCCAACTACCTGCTTGTACTAAAAAATGCCGTAAGGATGAACATTTTCCCAAAATCAAACCTGTCTAAATCAATAAATGCAACAATTATTATAATAAATACAGTAATTTGTTCCTAACATCGTTAGATTATCAGTTCATTTTGCTGACGGGTGTGACATGAGATGATATAGTTATATTATATGAAACGAGTTAGTTACGAGGGTATAACACTGGCTGGGGCGACATCAAGGGGTGTTTCTGCTAAAAAATGGCGAGGCCGTTAGGCCGAGACATTTTTTTTTGCAGAAACATCCCGAGATGTCGCCCAGCCAGTGTTATACCCCGTAACTAACGAGTTCCATATGCTATAACTGTTTTATCGCAATGGCTTCATGTTTTTTTTGTATAGAAACACATAAATAAATTAATCGTTAGCTACATTACAGTTATTTATCATAAGGCAGTTTTTCAAGTTGTTTTCGCTGCCGCAAAAAAAAAAATATACAAAAGACATCCAATATAAGAGGCGGATTGTATACTGTTACCAAAATTGATTTAAGATTAAAGGGCTTTTTTCATTTCATTAATTATCATTGTTTATATTTTTCATTGTATTTATATATTTATTTTATTTTATTTTATTGATTTCATTTTTTTTATTATTTTATGTTGTTGATTTTTTTGGCTACTGGGAATGGTCGTTAACACTGCCCCATTGGAGCCTCTATGAAAAAAAACTGTATTGATATATACAAGGTGCGAAAAAAACTCGACCGATATATTACAGTCGAGTTTTTTTCCTATATGAATCAATGAAAAAACTGTACTGTTATATATCAATACATTTTTGAAATGCTCATTGAAGTGTACTGAGTATAATGGGTTAGAAAGAACAAAGGAAAAGCTCACAGCCATGCGATAATTATGATAAAGGCACTGCCCGCACACATCTTAAAATAGATATGTCTGTGATTGAGAAGTATTTTCACAGGAAAACATTTTAAAATGTCTGTTAATTCTAGTACTAGAGTTTTGTAAGACATACTTTATTTTTTATTTGATTACGTAGAGAGCATGTTGGATTAAGTTTGAAAAACAAGTTTGATGTTTTAATTTAATAATGAAAACATTTGGTCGTCATAGTTCCCGATCATTCAGCCTTCTTCAGTGGCTTCTTTTGCATTTAAAATATATATAATAATATTTAAAATCATTTTTATTCATTATTACATTGTACCATGTTGTCAGACATTCCTCAAGTCTTTAAAACAAAGATCTCCTGTCATTCTGTCTTCCCCATATTGCACGAATATCAATACGAGAACAATTAAAATTCATAAAAAGCAATAAATATATTGTGTTAAGATCATATTGTATTATACTGTGCTTCTCTTAGTTCACGGTACTTAACGCAGGGAAACAATAAACTAATGGTTCAAAAAATGTCATTAGCTGTAACGTTTAGGTATTTTCAGATTTGTGTATCCATGGGCATGTGAAACCGGATCGCGAAAATGCGAAAATGTTACAATACGAAAAAGCGAAAATGCATCAAATACGACAGATGGAATGCGAATATACGACAGATTTTATGTGTAGTATTTTCGACCACCTTCTGTCGTATTTTCGCTTTGTTGCCTCGTAAATGCGAAAAAGCGAAAGAGAGGACTTTGTCGTCTCTTCGTGTTTTTGCTTTTTCGCATTTTCGAGGCAACAAAGCGAAAATACGACATGGCGTAAATCAGCCACCTTATTATTGAGGTTTTGTATAGCTCGAATTAAAAAACACACACTTTACTTCAATTTAACGAATAATTACTTAAACGTAAGGTTACTATAATGGAATTGATATAAACCATTTAAACGTATCATAATTTATCGTTCATGAAATTAAGAATTGTATGATAACTTTACGTTTTAACAATCCATTCAGGTTTAATACATTATAAACTTTGATAATATCTCTGTTTTTGGGATAGAAATTACCCAAGTAGATTAAAATCTCGGCATATTATTGAGAAAACAAATCTTAAACAAATGTTATATGATTGTATAATTAAATTAATTACACACTTATATTTCTTATATTCACGCCAAATATTCTATTTTCCACTTCATTAAAAAAGTGAGCATAATACTTCTTGGACCTCAGGAAAGAACATATTTAGGAATAAATAAAATTATACTAAAATCAAATTAATATGGTAGCACAAAGGTACGAGATACTATGTCGTGGCCACGATTTACTAAGTCGTGGCCAAGACATAGTATCTCGTGGCCACGATCGTGGCCACGACTTAGTAACTCGTGTTTAGTATAGCAGTACGTTATAGTTTTCAATTCAGGATATTTTTCGCAAGAGTTCTTGTCACCTAGATTTTATTCTATTGTTTCTTTTCTTTAATAGTTTTGCTCGAGTAAAATAATTATGATATTTTATAATTAATTTTCAACATAATCAAGTATACTTGCTAATCCATTGAAATCTACAAAGCATGCTTGATTAAAATGAAAAGAAATCTATATATTTCATAAGTAAAAGTCTCCCTTGAAGATAAAATAGAAGATATTCGACATAAAAGGAAGGAAAAATCGAAAATATTGTGTATTCTTAATCATGGAAAGGAAACGAAAAGCATCAAGTTTAGAAACAAAATATGATATTTTATGAGAAATTGAGAAAGGGAGTAAAACTAAAACTGAAATAGCAAAGTATTTTCAAATTTTCGGGTATTGTGTCTAAAAAGGAAATTAATGACTATTTTTTCTTAATCAAATGCTCTTAAAAATGGCAGACGATTGTAAAAAATCAGTTCGTTATATGTAAATCTGTTCGCTTTAAAAACTCCTGATACAAGGCACTAATTCACTATATGCCTACAAGGAACTCCGGATATAAGGAACAGATTTTGAATGTCCAAATGAGTTCGTTATAAGCGGAATTTACTGTAAAGTGTATTCTGATAAATTATCTCGTGGCCATGACTTAGTTATCTTGTTCCCACGACTTAGTAACTCGTGGCCACGACATAGTAACTCGTGGCCACAACATAGTATTTTGTGGCCACGACAAAGCTATCTCGTGGCCACGACTTAGTAACTCGTGGCCACGACATAGTATCTCGTGGCCATGACTTAGCTATCTCATTGCCACGACTTAGTAACTCGTGGCCACGACATAGTATCTCGTGGCAACGAGATAAATAAAAACACACATATGTCACCTATGTGCCACCATAAATTAAATCATCAAAATTAGAAATAAAATCTCAACTGACCTTTGTGTTTATCCAGCAATGGTTTCATCAAATTTCTGTACTTCAAAACAATAAAAATAAAAATATAACTAGATCTCTTAACTAATGGTATATAATTTGGTAAACTATCATTTAAATCCGATAAATATTGTATACATGTAAAAATAACTGACTTCTTATAACGTCAAGACCGTTAAAATTTTAAACGTTTACAACATTTTAAGTAATAACAAACGATTAAGACTTTGAGATCTTTGCGATTGCAACGTTTTATTCACAGTACCGTCTTCTTAACAATCCTTGTCGTTAAAGAAGAATTGAAAAAAAAATCAACTTATATTTGAACCTATCCAGAGAACACCATGATCACTTACTTAAGTTTATCACATAATGTTGGTTATACGGTTAACGTACAAAGAATATTTGGAATATAACCTTGATAATTTAAAGGAAATAAAGTATCTATCGAACTGTTGTATCTTAAGTGTATTATTTTCTGCTCTGGTGGCCTTGTTTCCGTTTAAGTGTTTATACATAATGTGTTAACAAAAATACATGTTAAATAGTCAAGCGTCTGTTGTTTCTTGTTTGGATTTCCTTACATGCATGCTTATTGTTTTAGAAGAAGAAATTGTGTATCCAAACCATTCAAGAAAACATTTTGCCAGAATTATATTTTATTTTATATTTACTAGTGCCAAGTATATATAATCAACTCGAAATTTAGAACGAAATGAATCGATAACGTTCATGATTTAAATAGACGGCAAAGTATTTCTTTTTCCATCTTTGTAGTAAACTGTATGTTTTTTTTTAATATTAAAGCAAATGCATTTTTTTATATGTATAGTTTGTCTATTATAATTATTACAGTCATTCTCATGAAATATATTACTGATTTTATACAACTTAACAACGAAAAAGGAACATAATGTAACTTTAATTTGTTGTTATATTAATATAATATCTGCATTATGCATGCGGCTGTGTGCGAGTTCAATTACATGTATACATATCTAAATCCAAACTTTGATACGCAAACGCAAAATTCGCCTTAAAATTGCATTCTAATAAATTTCCGCTTACCTTTGATGGTTAAATAGTATTTTTCGTAAACATGTCTTTCGGATACTATTGTCGTTAACTATCCTTAGCGAAGCACGGAGAGAAAATAAGGAAATATTGCAAAGTGAAGTTTCAGATACAGGAAATATATCAGACGATCACGTGATACAAGTAAGAAACAACGATTATATGTTAATAAACCATGACGAAAACATACTAACCGTTTCTTAATATGACATCCGAAATATCAAGTACATAATGCAATACAACACACCACACAGTTTATCAAATGAATGATATGTAGAAACAATCTTGTATCCTTTTATATTCGAAATAAGTGTAAAGAAACTAGCACAAAGGGAAGTAAAGTATATCCTTTTAAGTATGTTCAAGATGCTCGTGAAAGATAAAGCCATTCTACGTTTACAAATAGTGTAATCATTCAGATCGTCAGCGATGATCTACATATGCCTCCATAGAAAAAAAAAGAACATTTTTTTCAGTGAATGAGATAATAAGATAACTTATCTCCTAACTAGTATCTCGGGCATCAATTGATTGATATATACATGAAATGATATAACAAGTGTTTTTATATATAAAATGAACAATTATAGCTGTACGAAGCACTTTAACTTTTCGGAAACAGAAACCAGGTTTTGGGACATTCAATATTTTCCTTATCAGATTAGCTACTGAAACGGCAGATCAACCGTCTTTTATTACGGCCATTTAGAGCAAATCAATTTCAGTCGCAATATCTTTCGTCAATGTTCCGATAAGAATGATTGCTGATAATCGGCAAGATGTTTCGACTGCATCACCGATTGAATTATTTCAACCTATGTTTCATTTTTAAAAGGTGTATTGCGCATTTACATATAAACGTTACGGCTATTTGAAACCTTAATATAATTGAGATTTTAACTTTTTATAATAATAGAATAATATGACAGTAATATTTAAAGCGTGAAGCATTGACATGTGCGTTGTCATGAGCTCGCGTTCGACGTTCCTGTGCTTGAATAAATATTCATTGATTCAGTCATTAGAAAAATAACAGAAATTTAATATAAAAGTATATTGTTGTCAATTTTGTTTTCGATTTGCGTACCCCTGAAAATGAATATTTTTCGAAATTAGCACTGCCATCAAATCGCTGTTCACTCAATATTTTCAAAGCAATAATTAACATCTGCAGTCTACGTTTGTTATTCTATATTTTAAGAGTAATATACATGTATCAGAAAATTGTGTTTAAACTGTGTAAGTAACTCAGAGATTAACGAAACTTACTGACCTGATGACAGCTCCTCTTATCCGGTTAACAAATTATCATTTGCACACTGCGTAATGTGACCGGCGTGTTTTATGTAGACGCCTGACTTTTATCTCCAGACTAATCTTTCGGGCTTTCTATTGACTGATTTAAATACAGAATGATACATGGCTTTTTTCAACTTAAAATAAATCATTTTAGTTCTACGAAGTACTTTAACTTTCCGAAACTAAAACTAGTTTTCTAAGACCTCCACTAGGACGTTATTTCTGTCATTTTCAGAAAACATTGGTTAGTCATGAATTGCATTATATATCGATCATTTAGTGCAGCAATGGCAGTCATGTTTAACAAATGTTTTTATTTTATTTTAAAGGAGTATGCTGCATTTACATTACAGTATAGAGGCTATTTGAAATAGATATTGATTTAATCTTTGTATAATCTTAGATTATGATAAAAGAAATATCTTAAGAGAGAGAGAACATTGACTTGATTGGTGTTTGAGATATCTGCCCTTGAATTTGCTGTTCATTTGTTAGGCCAGATAACTTACACATCAATCTTGCAAACATTATTTTACTATTGTTTTATGTTCTCCATCTTATCCTTTGTCATGATAAAATATTCATTGAATTCCATTTATATTTGTTTCCCGCTATATTTTTTTCAGATTAAGACTTTTTTTTAAAAAATGTCATTTTAAAAGAAAATCAATAAATAGAAACGTTAAAAATAGACGGCTATTTACCATTTCTTGATATTTGCACAATCACAACAATCACCCAAAATGAATTTATCTACACGAAAATCAAAATTAAGTCATTGCTTACTATACCTGATATACAACATGTCTCTGTTGAAAAGAGGATAACTCGAAAAACAGCTCGGTGACCCGAAAATAATTTTTGCTGGAAATGTTCCTGTCATCATACTCTGACAACTCTAACAGTAACTTTCATTCAGTTCTATCATGTCTATTCATCTATATTCATTGTAGCATACGCTTTGAAGCGTATTGAATTGGTACATTCGGCGTCCTTATCCAAAATGTATCGGAAATAATCGAAATGGTGCCATTGACTTAAGGGGTAAGAAAGACCAAGTCAATTAAATAAAGGTTCAGTCTAAAGAAAAAAGCAGAATGTTAATGAAGTTGATAAATTAATATAAATTTTGATTTAAGTAAAAGAAAAAAGGAGATTTTGTGGAAAGTAATCAATGTGTAGGTTTTGGTGTATACAAAGATTACGTAATCGTGTCTATTTATAGTAACGGGCAACCATCTTGGATATAAGGAATTGAGGAAATGACCTTGAGCAACGGTCATTTTAGATATGACTCACTTCCGACTCTTAATGTGCGCGGCAGCCTTATGGAACCCTAATTTTAACGAATGACAGCGTCGTATAGGCGTCGGTTTAGGGGTTAACAAAGACTACGTAATCGTTTCAATTTATAGTAACGGTCACTAGTATTGAGCAATCAGATTTAAGAAGGTTTTTGACTGTGACAAATCATCATAAACATTGAAGCCAGATCACGTTCATGTGAAAATAAAACGAATTTTTCTGTTATATTTCAATAATCATGAATTGTTTTTTGTTTCTTTTGTTTTCCATAAAAGATATTGTCCATATAAATAAATAATAACTTAAATAAGAAAGTTGTCTTCATTTGCCATTCGCAATCTATTGTAAGTCAGGAGTACCCCATCTCAAATCAGATTGCTAATTCAAAACAAACATATCTTTCCTGAATAAACCATCACATGATTAAAAGTCCTGACGAGATAAAATGTTTAATCATTAATCTTCTGGGTCAAAATGAATATAAACCTATATCTATCTATCTATTGAATTAGAAGATTAATGATTAAACATTTGTAAAACAATCACGGCTATTGAACAAGAAAATGGGATTTTTCTATGTATAATTATTACCCGCTCATTTCGAGCGGGACATTGTTACAAAAAATAGCATTATCTGTTGACTCCTTCAATCGTCAATATAAATGTCACAGGGTGAGAAAAATGTGCAGCCTGCCCGGGACTCGAACCCGGGACCCTCGGAATACCGTACCGCGGCTCTACCGACTGAGCTATCCGGCCGCTTACACATCTTCTCCCCTATATAGTTAACATTTTTGAACTGTGACATACTCCCCTGCTATATTCGAATTTCCTCGAATTCCACAGAGTTACAGAGCAATGTTAGTTAAACTCAATATATAGATATCAATCACGGTCCCCCGTTGGACGCCAAATGTCACAGGGTGAGAAAAATGTGCAACCTGACTGGGACTCGAACCCGGGACCCTCGGAATACCGTACCGCGGCTCTACAGACTGAGCTATCCGGCCGCTTACACATCTTCTCCCATAATGGTGAACAGTTCTGAACCGTGACATAAATATGATTAAGTTTTTAAAGAAATCATGCATTTTATCATCATTTTATCTTTGCGCTTAAAACAACTATTGCTGCTTTTAAAAAATGGCGTTAAAATTGAAGGCTTTAAGCTTTTGCAATGAAAGATTAAATTTGATTGGCAAAATAATTTTTGAGATCAACTTAGACAAGTGAATCATATAAAAAGCTGAAAGCCAAGCAAGCTTCGGTTAAAATTTGGATGGAGTTTGAGTTTTAGGTTGTTTTCTTCAATGTTAACGCATTTGACTAGGCTAAGGAAACAAGTTCCTCCTGTTTAGAAAAGGAAAAGAAAAGATAGGGGTTGTCGTGGTGGGAGGCCCGTTTTCGGACGACAAAAAAAACGGTTAAATTTGCTATTTACTCAATGATTAGATACATTCTTGTTTTATAAGTTTTATTACATTTTTAACATGACGGAAATCGCATTTTCGATTGTCGCATGATTAAATATCTGACAGACGACGAGAATAAAGATCAACAGATCAATGCAACGTTCACAGGACACACATCAAGCACATTAGTAATGATAAGGGCCTAAATCTTTCATAAAAGCTACATAATCATATTGTAATAGAAAAGTATTATTGAAAAAACGAATATCAACTCCTCAGTTGTGTACCAAGAAATACGTGTCTGTTCCTGCAGTTGTTGTTGTTTTTGCTTTGGAAAGTGCCTGTTAAGACCTTAAGATGTTTCATTTTTATAGTGGAAAGGAAATTTAAGCTTTCATGTCACATTTTGCTAATTGACATTATATATTTAAGTTATTTTTTTTACTTTAGTGTTATGTGATCAATTTTTGTTACCATGGCGGCACGATAAAAATGCAACGGCCGCTGTTGATGAAGTGGATAGTATACTGACTTGGCAATCCAGGGACCCGTGGTTCGAATCTCGTCTGCGGCTAGCCGATTTTTGTCTGTTTTTCAGACTCCTAAATTTAAATAGTGATATGCCCCTTTTAATCTTCAGATATTCGAAAGAAAATTTCCAAATGACTCCTGAAGGAATTATTTTTAATATACAAATGTTATATCATACAATACAGGTTAAGTTCGAATTTGGGTTCAGGGACTAAATTTTTACATACTTATGTCCCCTTTCATCAGCAATTTTGCACTAAATAAGATTTTTAGATATATTTTTTAAAGGAGACAAAAAATTGACATTATTTTTTGTTGTTAGTTGAAACACCATAAAATACAGATCAAGATCAAATATAAATTAACGCCACTAAATTTGTACTTACTTATGTTCCATTTTCAACTTCAATTTAGCAAACAATAAGTTGTTTCGACTTGATTACTCTTAATATAGTCAATTGATTGAAATTATTTTGGTACACAGATGTAACATGTTTAAATACAGGAGTTTAAATATTTGGTTCATATTACTAGTTTTTCATATTTTTCCCCTTTTCAACTTTCCATCTTGCAAAAAAATAGTTTAATGATAATGATAAGGAGTCAAAGGATTGTACGCTAATGTAACCTTCTTTTAATATAAGTTGAGTTCAAGATTAAGCACACGCCACTAAATGTTTAGATAATTTTTATTAATTTTCTTTTACCTATTTCAAACTTATTTTGATGATTTAAGTTTTTTCTCAATTCAATTATCTGTACAATGTTGTCTTATTTTACATAAACAAATATTTCCTCTCACCAAACTTTACAGAAATGATTCTTCGGATGTCTCCTTTCAAAGTTGTTCAAACGGTCTGCTATGTTTCTTATTAAGGTCAAGGGTTCAACGTTACTTGTTAAGAAAAATGAAACCTCACATTTAAGCCTTGTTTCCTCACACTAAGATGCCTACAGCTTAAATATTTGGCATGTGTTATTGCCTTGTGAACCTCTACAAAATGTACATGTATCTAAATCATGTCCCTTGGGTAAAATGTTACCGCCCCAAGGGGGTCATAATTTATTTTTAACCTTAATCTTACCGTGCCAAAATGCACATAACATATGGATATTTGCCTTCCACAAGTTACAATCTGAAGCCTCTCGGCGCGCTGTGCTCCAGGAGTTCCATACCGCATTGTTTCTTTCTACCGCCACCATAAGTCGCCAAGTGATCTTTGGGCGCTCCTTCTTCTTCCCCCAGGCGTCCACCATAAAGCTTCAGCACAGTCACCTACTGGATCCTTTCTTAATATGTGGCCGATCTAGTTCAATCTCCTTCTCCTGATCTCTCTACTGATGTTAGGTGATGCTGCCATGTCTAGTACAGTCAGGTTTTGTATGCACTGTTGCCATCTGATCTTAAGGATCCTCCTGGAAGGAGTCGATCTTCTTTTCCTCCGTCTTGGTGTGTTTCCATGTTTCATATCCATAGAACAATACGGACAGGATTAGGCTTTTGAAAGAGATACTTTTACTTTACTGCTGATGTAAGTAACCTTCAAAATATTGTCTAGCCTCCTAAGGGATACACCGGCCATCGCTATCCTCGTCTTGAAGTAGGCTTTGCCTCCGCCCTCCTTGGTGACATTGTCGACAATGTACGTGAAGTTGTCAATGTCCTCAACTTCATTGTTTCCGACATTGATGTCCGTCTCGTTTTCCTAGCTCTCTTTTATCGGCACTCGCTGATTCTAGTATATATTCTAGCTGATATCTTACTTGCTAATTGTTCTGATGCTCCTCCTCTGTACATTATTGGCACATTCCAATATCCACTGGTGAATGTTCTCTTTGGTGTCACAAGGGAACTTATCGGACGTTGGGCATCCTTTTGTCTTTCACCCCTCGTCGTCCTGCTGCCATCGTTGGCGGTTCACGCTTCTACCAGTCTTTCTTGTCTTATGTCCATAGATTCTGTAAAATGTTGTTTTCTAGGTAGGATTGTTGGCCCGAGGCAAATCTCTTTTTACCTCAAGGAAAGGTGGTTTGATTTTGGAGTTTCCTTCCTAGACTGCTTTCCATCTCTGGATATTGAGCACTCTGCCCATTTGATTTCAAATCGGTGTTTTTCTTCACCTAGCCTTTCCTATAATTAGGTGTGGCTGCAAGGCAGCGGTGGTTTGCACTCAGAGTTTCCTTCTCTTAGATGAACTATCCTCCCTGACTGAAGAGCCCCATCTACCCAAAGCACTGGTTTTCAGGCGTCAGAAATCTCGACCTATCAATAGTAGCGGTTCCGCTGGGCTTGTTACAAACCACGCGAGCAGGCAAGAAGTTGGATTTGGTTGTCAGAGCCTATAAGAGGCGCATGCTTTGAGGAGCACTTTATAAACAATTGGAGCTTATCCCCATTGCCATCCCTCGGCTAAAACAACCTTTTGAACCTAATTATAATAACCTGCATAGGAAAAATATCTTTAATTTTTATTGTATGAAACTTCAATACCTAGAGCTTAAATATTGGACATGTAGCATTGCCTTCTGAACTTATACAAAACAAATGTTTATCTTGACCAATGAGTCAAAATTCGTCCAACCCAAGGGTGAACTTGATTTATATAGACTTAAATAGGCCTTGTTTTTATTGTTACTCATTCTAATACTAATTAACATTTAATGTGGAGACACCTTGATGAGGTCTACCTACCAAACGCATTTTCAGGTCAAAACGTTGAGGTCAACGGGACCTGGTATATCAAAAATCTCAACGGGCCATATAGTGAAAGTTCATGTCGAGGGTTGACCGCAAAACTTCAGTATCTTATATGAAATAAAGAAGGATTTACAACAGTTTTGCAATCATTTCTCGATATATATAGGGACGTCATTCTTTCTATGTGGTTACATCTTGAAATATTTAGTTCCTATGTGACCGCATTGATACCAATTGACCCAGTATTAGGAATCGACTCTTCCTTTTTGTTTATTCCATCATTATTCACAAATAACAAAGCGAGTCGCTACAACCTTTTTTAAAAGCTAACCGTGTCACGTGACTAAACTAGTAATAACCCGTTTTGATATCGCACCTGTTGAGACAAGCTTTCCGTCTATACGATGTCAAGGGGGTCATACCATGCCCGTGCATCCTCAAAATTCTGATACCGCGAACACTGTGTCAACCGGTATTTTGAAGAAAAACGAGTCATGTAAAGCAATCAGAATAGATTTGAATTTAATTTCTTTTGCAAAGAAGATGTCCTTACTTCTAGTTTCAATATTCAAAATGCCTTGACACAAGTCTTCCCTTTCTTGTCAGTAATCGCGTTGAATGCGATTTTGATTCTGGATAGTGCGTACACCCGGGGTTGAAATGTTACAGAAATTGAGAAATTGTCGATTAAACTGAAAGTTTTACACAACTGGAAGTTAATTTATAATAGAATTCTTTCACAAATATATTTTCAATCTTTGTTGGTTTTTTTTTGTACGAAAAATGTCTTAACTTTTTGCAGGAAATAGACATTATGATACTGCGTAGACTCTCAAGATAGCTCTGTGCTATTACCAGGGATTGTACTACTTAAACAATTCTCTTTATCTATAGTTATGAAAAGTACAAATATTGAAGGTAAGAGAATTTGCACTGTCTAGCTTGTACACTGGCTTAAATGATTCAGAAGTTATTTACTTCCGTGTATCAGAAAAAAAACTAAGCATAGCCAGGTGTCTCTATTGTTATGAAGATGGGTATAAGAAGTATTTTTCCTTGTTATTTTTCTTTTGTTTCACCATACCCTAACATGAGATATAATCAAGGAAAATATTATTTAAAATGATCTGTATGAGGATAATACAAACACAGTAGCTTAAAAGTTTTAGGGTAACAATAAGTTATCGTGTTCACAGCTAAATTGTAGTATTGGGTGATCATTTAAGTCCTTTAAAAATATTTCCAAATGCGCATTATGTCATTGTTAAAGAAAATTATTTCTATCTTAACAGTGTTTTTCTCAACTCTTTTGTTTCAATTTTCATCCGAAATGTTTAAGTTAGCTCAGTACATTGTAAAATGCCTAACGCACATAAAAGCATGTTGGTATTCAATAAGACTCGCCATCTGAAATCGGTGAAAATAAAAGAATCTGGACATGACGTGACTTGTTATCTCATTTAGGTATACATTGTTCTCATTGTATATTTATCTATGTTTTATATGTATAGATGAGACTACGTATATTGAAGAATATATATTGTTTGCAGTATGCTGCAATTTATTTCTATAGTCAAAAGAATAAGACAGTAAAAATAACTTTATTTATTGATATATTTATAGGTCAAATAAACATAAGTTGACTATGGTTTGGGACGATAGATATGGGCAATGATTTTGAATGAATATAAGAAGGTCACTAACATAGAAATAATATGACTTATAACTACAAGGTAAAATATAAAAAGGAATTACAAATGGTCAACTCCCTTCCATTGTGCTACAAATGTCAAGTTGCAGACAAGACTTAATTTTGCATATAAATAAATGTAAAACAATTGAAATAAATCTTCAGTTTTCATTGATTTTGATTCTGCAGGAAAGATGACTAAAATAAATTTGAGTTTTTATTATTATAATTTGTTTTTTTATGAGATTAATTTGCACTATAGCATTGATTACTTTAATAACTCAATCTGTAAAAAGAGAAATTTCCAAAGAAAATATTCATATAATATTTTTTAACATTGTGTGCGTCATTCCGTGGCCCTGTAGAAAGGCCGAGCATTTTTGTTTTCGGAGTCCTTAATAGAATCCGCATTCAGCAGGATGTTATAAAATTAAAATCTTAAGATGATTAAAACCATACCTCTATAAAAACTTTGATTACACGGATTTCAGACTGAAACAACGATAGATCAATTGTCACTAAAAATGTGTATACAGATTATCAAAATAGGTAACACATATTCTTATAAGGAAACATTATCAGCATACCTAAAGTATCGATTAGCAGCTACGAATACATTGATCGATCTAAGCCTGATTTGAAATTTTCTTATTTTTTTTTCCATACGCCCGTGCGTATTTGGCGTATCGGTAGGTACGCCACTGGGCATGTGTTGTATTTTCCTTTTCTTAGTTTATATTTTGACATATACTAATCGTCATTATTCTGAACGAAAGTTTGAATGCCATTGTGGAAAATGTGAATAGAAAGAGAAATATTGCCAATAAATAGCGCATTCACGACCTTAATTAGGTTTCAGGCGTAAAAATATTTATTCAGATGAAAACACCAAAAACATTCAAAAAATTTTATGCATTTTAAAAAACGGGTACTATTTAACGGACCGCAACTAATTTAACCGGATTTGGTCGTGCCATTTTTCGCATCGCACTCTACAAAAAAAAATTAATCAGGCGAAGGAACAATTTTATTCATAAAAAAAAGTTTTTCAACTAATTTTTGGCCTGCACAAAATACCAAAAAAAAGACAGGTTTTGTCTTTTTTTTTGTAAGAGTAAATTTTTTCTAATTACCTTTTTAATGGCGTACATCGGGTTGGGGAAAAATTCCACATGGAAATGAATTTTCGAAATGGCGGAAATTTTTTTGAAAAGAGTGAAAACTTAAAAACATCTTAAAAACCCCCGTAGAAAAAATGATTTAAAATTCACAAATCGTTTTTAAAATAAATTGAGATATGTCGTGAAATACTTTTAACACTCCCTTATCATCTGTTCTATTGTTTTTTGGGGGGGGCGTGAATTTGAAGGAAAATGTAAATTTTTGTAGTGCAAATTTAAATTCACGACCTATTAGCTGACGCATCAGAGGTAATTTAAAACCTTTTAAAATATAAATGAAAGCTGAAAAGTTATTTACTACATCAGTGTAAATGCGGTTTATGATATATTTACAATTCTCAGCCGAGTAATTTTTATCTATGTCTTTTGGAAAATGGATGAATTTCCCTCATTTTTTTAATTTATCAACTTCTTTTTTGTTAGTTTATCCAGGTATGTATATTAACCTACGTACCGGTTATTCTGTTTAAAAAAATAAAGTATTAATACTAAATGTCATTTCATCTACTTCAATCGTAAAACAAATGTGTGTTTCACAAGAGGTTTGGATCTACATCAGCACGGCAATTCCACTGAAGGCTGATACAGCCCAAAAGTTCAAAGATTTTTCTG